GTGGAATAAAGAAAAATTTTGTAACATTTTTCGGAAAAAAATCCGAATTATGGGCTCGCATTGAAGGAATCCAATGTGAACTCTCAAAGAGAAGGCAACGACATTTAGTGAAACTTGAAGCCAAGCTGCGCAGAGAGATGGAAGAAGTGTTGAATGATGAAGAGACTTTGTGGTTTCAAAAGTCTAGAATGGAAGCTATTCGAGATGGAGATAGGCATACGAGATACTTTCACTTGTCTACGGTGATAAGGAGAAGGAGAAATCGTATTGATGTTTTGAAGAATGATCAAGATGAATGGGTTACTGATAATTTGGTAGTGCAAGGCATGGTTCAACAATTTTAGAGTCAATTATTTCAAGAGGAAAGAAGGGATAACTCAGCCCAAGTGCAATTGCTGTTGAATTATTTCCTAAATATCAGTGAAGATGATATGGAGAAAATTTCTCGCCCATTTGGTGAATGTGAAGTGCTTGCTGCCCTGAAATCGATGAAACCTTTCAAGGCTCCAGGGCCTGATGGTTTCCAACCGTTGTTCTACCAAAGATTTTGGGAATTAGTCCATCCAAGTGTGGTACAGTTGGTTTGTGAGGGACGTGATTTCCAGAGGGTCTTAATGATGCCTATTTGGTGCTTATTCCTAAGGTGGATGTTCCAGAAAAAGAAAACCAATTTAGACCGATTGGGTTGTGTAATATCCTTTTTAAGTTGGTTACGAAGGTGATTGTGAACCGACTTAAGCCTATTTTGCCGAGTTTGATTTCCTCTACTTGGTGCTCTTTTGTTCCTAAGAGGCAAATTACTGACAATGTTATAATCTTGCAAGAGATGCTGCATACTATAAGATATAAGCAAGGCAAAGTTGGTTACATGGCTGTGAAGATTGACTTTGAGAAGGCTTATGATCGGCTTAGATGGAGTTTTATTCGTGAGTCTTTGATGGAGCTTCATCTTTCGCAACATATGGTAGAAATTGTAATGCAATGCATTAATTCAGCTAAATTACAGATTTTATGGAATGGTGAACCAATGCAAGCATTTAGCCCAACGAGAGGCATTAGACAAGGAGATCCCTTACCTCCTTACATTTACGTGATTTTTATGGAGAGATTGGCTCATCTATTGATCGAGAAGTTCGTTTGGGTGGTTGGAAACCGGTGATAAGGGCTAGTCGGAATGGCCTTTCCATTTCGAATTTGGCTTTCGCGGACGATCTAATTTTATTTTGTGAAGCTTCGATTTAGCAGGCTAAAATCATGAAACATTCCCTCCAAATGTTTTGTGATGCTTCGAGTAGCAAAGTAAGTATAGCAAAGTCTAAGATTTATTTTTCGAAAAATACTAACTTTGGTGTGCGTGAAGCTGTGTATGAATGCTTGGGCATGGAAGAAACGGAAGATTTTGGGAAGTATCTAGGGGTTCCAACTATTAATGGTAGAACCTCAAAAAGATCATACCAATATCTTGTTGATAAAATCAATAGAAAGCTTGTAGGGTGGAAAAGTAAGACCCTTTCCATGGCGGGGAGGGCCACTTTAGTCCAATCGATTTTATGCTCTATGCCTTATTACACTATGCAATCCACCAAGTTGCCTGAACAACATGTGATGAGTTAGATTGAAAGTTAAGAAGCTTCCTGTGGGTCGAGCAATAAGGAAAAAGAAAGGTACATCATGTAGCTTGGGATAGGCTGACTAAACCCAAGGGAGAAGGTACGGTGGACTAGGTTTGAGCTCTATGAGAGATGCGAATAGAGATTTTTTAGCCAAGATTAGATGGATATTGTTGGATGAACCGGCAGCCTTGTGGTCGAGAGTCTTAAGAGCTAAATATTGCGACAATCGATGTGACTTGGATATGTTTAAAGATAAAGTTTGTGCTTCAAATGCGTGGAGGGGCATTATGAGTAGTATCGATAATGTGCGCAAGGGTGTCAATATGGCTGTAGGAAATGGTAATAAAACTTTCTTTTGGCATCACCGTTGGGCCACGAAGGACCTCCTATTGGCTTATGCGAGTGAAGATCCTCTAATTGAGGTCCAAGACTTGACAGTAAGGGAGTTGTGGGATGTGAATATTGGCTGGAAGTTTGAGGAGTCCGCTGACTACCTTTTGGCTTTGATTATTGGTCAAATTGCCTCTTTTGAGTTGGTAGATGATGAAGAAGTTGTTGATGAAGTGTATTGGAATGGCACTCCTAGTGGTGGCTTCTCGATTCGATCGGCAATGGAGTTAATGAAAAATAGTGAAGCTGCTTCTTTTGAGAGTGTTCGTGGCTAGAAATTAATTTGGAAGACTACTGTGCCACAGCGCATTAGATTTTTCATATAGCTTGCAATTCAAGACAGATTAATGACAAATAGTAACCGCTTTATTCGGACTTTAACGGATGACCCGCGGTATTTTGTGTGTGGTGAAGTTGAGGAGAGAGCATATTATTCGAAGGTGTCTAGCAGCTAAAATTGTTTGGCAAAAGATGGGTGTCGATCTCCGCAAGATTGTGAATACCGAACCATTTCGTGAATGGATTTTGGATAATATTGATGAAGAAAACAATGACTTGGGTTGTGCGTGGCCGAGAGCCTTTGCAATCACTTGCTGGTGGCTGTGGCGTTGGAGAAACGAAAAGAGCTTCAATCACGAGCCCAATATTCCAATTGACCAAGCAGCGTTTATTTTTAATCGAATTGGAATTGTGCAGCAAGCAATGGAAAGTGATAGACAGCTTCATGGGGTAGGGCGCAAAGGAAAGAAAGAGGTGCTTATTAGATGGTGTGCTCCTAATATTGGTTGAATACCGATGGAGCTGCGAAGGATAATCCGGGAAGAGCTGGAGCAGGTGGCATCATAAGAGATAGTGGTGGAGAGTTATATGAGGTTTTTGCAATGAATTGCGGGGTGTGCACTTGTACAAAGGTTGAGCTTCTTGCTATTCAAAGAGGCCTCTCCACTGCATGGAATGGAGGACATAGAAGAGTGGTGTTGTCGGTTGACTCTGAGGCTGTAATGCATTTGTTAAAAGGTGATACCCCTTCTAACTCTCCATACATACATATTATTCGAAAGTGCAAGGCTCTCATCTATGGTAGGAGTTGGGAGATTGCCATTAACTATTGCTATAGGGAAGCTAATCGTGCAGTGGATTGGCTTGCTAACTATGGAGTGAAGATGGATCAAAAGCTGGTTCTTATTGAGGCGGTCCCGAAGGATCTTCGTTCTGTTTTATTGGAGGACCTTAGTGGTGTGGCATGGGCGAGGAAGGTGCCGGAAGATGCCGCAATCTGAAGGCCTTGTTTCCATCCTAGTTCTATCCCTTTAGTGTTTTATTTTTTCTGTTTTGTTTCTTGTGTCGTAGCCTAGCTTTTCGTTTATTTTGTTTTTTCTTTTTGTTCTTTCGGGGTCTTTCCCCTCTCTTGCAAAAAAAAAAAAAAAAAAAAAAAAAAAAACACTTTGTAACATCTAATAATTATATATTACGTGTACTTAACTTGAAACATCTAATATTTAATTACGAGTGCTTTTCTTTTGTTAGGGATTCCCCCCTCTTTTACAACAACTGAAAAAAAAAATGGTCCAATTATCCGAATGAATTGAAGATTTGCCAAATATTATATCCCTTACCAACTCTGCTCCTAGATTGCAATTGAAACGGGCAAATTTGAAGGAGAATTGGCCCATATAAAGTTACCCAGAACTGATCCCTAATTTGGAATAGCTCAAAGGGTGAATCGGGTAAAACACCAAAAAAATAAAAAAATGTAAAATATATAGCAATCGAACATAAATTGTATTTGAAAACGAAAATCACACCATCCAAGTTGAGACATGGCATAAGGAAGTCCTAGAATACCAGCACCAACCATACAAGTAATATTATGGATAGCGGAATACCACCATTTTGCCGTCCGATTCGACGTTATCGGAAGCCAATCGTTAATATTGTTATCATGTTCTGCGTTTTCCCTATCGAACCACCAGTGTTGACGTTGTTTATGTTGATTTTATAGATCCTTAATTCTTGCTGCATCTACGTATTTGTTTCAAATGTCACGCATTTTAATCTATTTTTGAGTTTATATATATAGATTTTATCCGTTGTTAAGACGTATGTTTATTAATTAACTTCCTTAAAGTTTTCTGTTTTTAAGACAAGTTTATTGAGGTGTTTTCTAACTAATATTTTGTTTGGAGTTTCTTACATCATAACAATTTGAGGTCGAAACAATTTTTTGATTACTATATAATTTTTTAATCTTTTTTTATTATTTTTTTAAAAGACAAGGTTATCTAAGCTGAATAGATCTAAGTACTCCGTATTTAGTACTGATGACATCTTCTATTTTAAAATTAGACACATGTCAAGTTGTGATTAGAACTTTTCCCTTCAAAACTATAAATGATATCATCATTTTGTGATTTTTATTTTATTTTATTAAAATTTTGGTCCGTTAGCTACATTATTATTACTATCAAATTCTGAAAAACGGTATATTCTCTTTAGCAATAATAATTCAATTTTTCTTCCTCAAGTACCCTTTTCATCATTCAATTTTTCTATGAGCTTTATTTTTGTAAAACAAAAAATTGATGTTTTATTTATTTTGAAAATTTTTATATTTAGTTTTGGTATGAAAAAAAATAAACAAATTTAGAAAATTTTACGAGTATTTGATCAAATCGTGCATCACACGAGACTAATCTAGTGTTGTTACTATAATATTGCTTTTGTCCGTGGATAAAAAATTCACTTGCCTTTACAAACATTTTTAATAAGGTTAATAAAAAAAATAATAGCGGGATCGGATTTATTTGTTTGATAATATGAGAACTAGATCTATAAGCAAGTAATGGTACTTTAAGTTCAAATATTTTTAAAGATTAAATAAAAATTAATTAAAATAGAGATATAATAAAAACAAAATTATTTGATTCTGAATAAAAATAAAATTTGAAAAAAGTGAATAAATAATTTCTGAAATAAAAAAAAGTGAATAAAAAATTCTAGAATAAAATAAATAAATAAAGTATACGCATTAAATATAGTTTCCAAAACAAAATTAAGTTAGTAATTTATAACAATTACGCATACATCGTGTAATTATTAATGTTAATATATATCATCAACAATTCCTATTTAGCTTCTTATACTTAGGGCCATGTTCTTCATTTTCAAATAAAAAAAAAAATTGTTAGCTTCGATTGATTAAAAGTGGATAAAAAATTGAAATAATGGAGAAATTAATTTATTGAGCACTATTTAGATAGTACTCATTGGACCTGATCATCAATGGACCATCCCATTGGTCCAAATAAAGTTTATTAATTACATAACTAAAAGAAAATTGGAGCAGTATTTTTTTTTTTTTAATGGAAGAAAATTGGAGAAGTATTAACATTAATACTTTTGTAAATTTAATAATTGCAAAATGTGATAGAAAATCATAATCACTTATGAGAAAGCAATTTTATAGGTGAACATAATGACACTAATTATCATTCATTAATTGTTTATCATTATTTCTAAACATAGATAGTCCCCTAAAAAAATCGGTGGGATTGAAATTTTTGAGCATCCTATTATCCCTAATTAAATCTAGAATTGATCAAGAAAAAAATTTATACGATCCAGCTTGCATTATGATATCTCTTACAGCGCCAATGGGGGCTAAGATCGTCAGTGATGCGCCAAATATAATGCAGAACTGTAATGTAAAAAAGTTACAATAAGTAGTTGTATAAAGATAGGAAGAGAAAGTAAAAAAAAATGATAAATATAATGGAATTTGAAGTTAAAATCTCACCCAATTGCAAAACCAAGATAAGCTGTATCTCTTGGGTTTGCAAATTATCAACCACATTATGCAAGGTAACTGTAAGACATATACAATGTATTAGTAAAATATAATATTGGATAAATAAATACATAACAATACATGAATATGATGAAAGATGTGACAATAGAAACTTACATAGTAGGAAGTGGGTGCAAATGCAATTCCACCTAGAACGCTAAGAAGAGAACCAAAAAATGGGAATGCTATTCCCACAAACATAGTAATTCCTGCAAAAAGTATTATATAAGTTTTTTTATATTATTATTGTACTCCAATGAATTATAATGTAAACATGTTACATCTTAAAAATTGACGATTATTAATATAAAAGTTGATTTTTTCCGAAATGAATATGATTTATAATTATTTGGTGATTTTAATTTGTATTTTTTTTAATTTTTAAAAAATATTACATAAAATGAATATATGAAAAGAAAATAATACAACAAACTATATATAAAAAAACAACAACTTACCGACATAGGTAGAACGGGTTACTAGGCGAATCATCTTACTTGGTTTGCGTTTCATTTTTAGCGTTAAAAAAGATTCGAGCATGTCGAACATTGGCATTGCGTAAACCTAATAACATAAATTTATTAGAGTTTTTTTAATGAAAAATTTGAAAAACATTATAATAAATTAATTTAAATTTTGAAATACCTGATAACTCCCAATAACGTGTATAACAACAAAGACATTGGCAATAACAATGAGCCAATTAGGTTTGTCGAGTGAAACCATTATGTTGTCTTCAACAACTCTTCCAAATACAAAATAGCCAACAAAGGCCACCGGAAAATAACATAACATCACCATTATATAGGCAGCTAATGACCCTTTCCACATGGATAATTTGGAAGGTTTTTCTGGAGTAGAAGGGAGTGTAGCTTGGATCTCCAATACAACATTGTGCCCAGAAAAGGCAAATGAAATTGTTCCCAACCCGCTCAGAAATCCAAAAATATGACTTGCATCAGTGCTATACCTACTTCCATAACTTGTATCCAATTGCACTCCTTTTATAGATGAAGCTATCCAAGCGATGGCAGAATAACTGAATTTAATGAAAAATATTTTCTGAAGTCAATATCCAACGTAAAACATGTTAAATAATCTTTAACAAATTAAAAGAGCTACTCTCCTTTAAAATAAATATAGGCATTATAACTAGCTATAAAGGTTGTGGAAACTCACCTGAGAGACATGATAGCCGCAACGAAGGAGATTCCGGTGATAGAGTTAAAATTTGGTAAGTTAGATAGAAAAAATTGGATAAAAGCGTAGATCATGATAAAGTAAGTTCGTCTGATGGGTGTTCCATTTGGTAGTAGAATGCTATAAACCTTCATCAAGGAAGTCCCTCCAGTTATCATGTACACAATATCACAACCGACTTGAACCATGATCTGTTGTGCCACTATAAACCATAACCCAAAATTTTCCCCAAAAGCATATTGTCCTAGTTCATAGTACCTATCAAATCTTTTTCCCGGCACAATTTCATGCATTTCTACCATTTGCCACAGTGTGTATAACGTCACTATCCATGACAATAATAATATTGTCACACCAGGACCCCTGAAATGCAAACATTCATTCAATGTCATTAATTTGTTTTATTATTGCGGGAACTAATCATACAAATACACAATCTCCTAAACTATATTTTCCTAATGTTTATGTATCAGTATAATAAAATCAAATTTCTCCCTATCATATAATAACATGCAATCTTATTACATTACTAATGTTTAACAATATATAATTTGTCTGTCAAAAAAAAAAAACAATAAATAATATGTCAGAGAATAAAAGCGGATCAATTAGTATCGCCAAAATCACAAGGTTGCTAATTCATATTTTATTGGGCCACTTATGAGTCATGGACCTACTCATGGCCATAATATTATATGGAGTACTGTATTGGATTCGTACTTGTAGACATACTCACATATCTTCCCATTTTTTTTTTTTAATTAAAAAAATAAAAATAAAATACTAACATATCTTCACTATTATACCGCGAAAAAGAAACACCATTATACCACGACAAAGAAAATCTTCTAAAGGGAAATTCCCAAAATCATTGCTCCTTAAAAATTTTCCTCACAATTTAGGATTTCTCCAAAAAAATTTGTTTCTCGAATTCAGGTTACACATGCAAAGGAGTAATTGAGGTCGAATTCTTCCGGTAAGAGTGAAATTGGGTTTCAAAGAAGTAATTTAATTGCTTAGTCGTTTTAATTTGTAATGCAAAAATACTTGTGATTGATATGCATTATCTTGTTCATATTGAAAGTAGATTACTATATGATACAAATTATCACTGTCAACACCACATTATCAACTTTAAATTCAAACTCGATCTTAGTCGAATTTTAGGGAATTTTTCTAGCTTTGAACAAAATTAATTCAATATACACAATTCTGGTCTCTACTTTTAATTTCTTGGTTGAAATTAATTAATAAAACTAAACTTTATTAACCACTACTTTATACGAAGTATTTGTCAGAAGCTGTTACACACAAGTACATCCTACCAAATCAATTATCAAAATTAGAATTACATAAAATAATGCATTAAAAAAACAAAAAACATGGCAGAGGAAAGAAAAATCATACCATCCAAGTTGAGACATAGCATAGGGTAAACCGAGAATACCCGCACCAACCATGGCGGTAACATTGTGAATGGCAGCGTACCACCACTTCCCCTTTCGGTTCGAGGCTACCGGAAGCTCGTTGTTAACATTGTTATCGACTTCGACGTTTTGGTTCTTTTCTCCAACGTTAATGTTGCTATCAAACATCACGTTTTGGTTCTTTTCTCCGCCACTTTCTATGTCAAGGCTAGTGTTTTCGTTCTTCTCTACTCCCTCCATGATTAATTATATAGACTTTTATAATTTTTTTATAGTATGTTTTTTGCAAGTGCTCTCTAGTTTTTGATAATCTAAGTTAGTTGTATGATAATAATATGATTTTTATGAGTTCACTTTGTGTGTCTTATACAAGGATTTATTCTAGATGCAAAAGTAGTTGTTGGATATCCTTACTGTCTTAGAATTTGTGTCTTAACTAATATAGGATTCTTATATTATTTCCATATTTACTTTTTGGATAGAGTTGTAAGAAATAATTGTAATCTATTTAGAATAGGCTTTTCCAATTGCTGACATGTTAGAATAATTCAGCACTAATTGATATCTAAAGGTAACTTGTAAGTGATTTAAACTTGTTTAATTAGTTTTTTTCAACCGTAAATATTTATTTTTTGGTAAGAAGTTTTCTCTAATTTCCATAAAAACAAACTTTCTTCCGACCTTATCCACGTTAAATGATTCCAATATTTGAATTGGTTTAATAGTTTGTCTAAAAGATTGATCTTACAGTCAAATACTTAAGAAATATTCTTCTAACGTGGATTTGATCATCACAAGCGATTCTCAAAGCAATTCTCTCAACACAATCAATATTTCTTTCCTCTGAATAGTGAAGTTTCTAGGTTTTTTCTTAGTCTTAATATCAATACTTTTTACTCTAATAGGGAGATCTTCCTTCGTGAACTAACTCCAATTCTTCTGATGTATGTCATTACTTTTCCTCTGATTTTGTTTTTTGTGCATTCGATTATTGATGATTCTTGTGGTTTTGATTTTGTGGTATCGGAATGACTGAAGAATGTAATGTATCTGGATTTCAATTGCATTTTATCAATTTATTTTGTGCTACGTGTAAATTGTGATCTTCATATTAATCTAGAATTTAGTTTAGATCATAGATGATTTTAATTTAGTCTTATGACTTTTGACTACCATACGGTTGAGATTATTTGTTTTTTGATTTATTTTTAATTAGTAATTTTAATTAAAAATAATTTGTAAAATAATTTTAAATATATTTTTATCTTCCTGAAACTATTTTTTAATATTTTCAAAATTATGGAAATAAAAAAAAATATATAAAATAATTAAAAAATAATTTTGAATTAACATTACTAATTAAAAATAAATCAAAAAACAAATAATCTCAACCGTCCATTTTAAAATATCGTGGTGGCCAAAAGTTATAAGACTACATTAGAATATCTTCTTAAATCATACTTGATTGTTACATGTTTTCATCTAATTATGAGGTTTAATTCTTGTTTTTTGAACTAAAAATAAAAATAAATACAGAGGCTATGCAATTTCTCCATTTACATCTTGAATTATTCGTTTTTCTGTTTGTATTTCAATTATCTCATTAAAATAAATTACTCCGTACCTCATTGGACTATGATTCTATCTTAATATAAATAGTTTGTTAGAAGTTAGAAGATTTGTAGCCCTTGAATTATCATGCAAAGTATTATGCAATCAATTTATTTATTTTAAAAAATTTCGGGGTCGGTGTAATTTTGGTTATACTTTTGTTAATTTTAGTATTTGATAAGTTCGGGAAAATTAGAGACTGTTTTGACTTTTCAGAAATTTTGATACTTACAATGATTATGATTTTGTTTTTCCTCTATTTCTCCATATTTTTCTAACTAATACTCCCTCCGTTCCCCAATGATGTTCCTGTTTAGAATCTTTGACTTTTAAAAAATAAGAGAGAATCTTCTACATTTCTCTCAATCTACAAGAACAAATATAGTCATATGGGATCTAATTTGATTCGTCTTGGTGAGTACATTATTAATATCTAACTTTTATAATTTTTGCTAGTGTGAAATTTAAAAAAAAATTTACGATCAAAGACAGGTAAAACTTACATCAATTTATGTAAATAAGAACATCATTCTGAAACGAAGAGAGTATACTCTAAGCTCAATTGCAGCTTTGCTAATTTCTTTTTTCCTACATCTTAGTAGAACTACATATATAGATGGTTATGTTATTCTTTGCTAGGCAATCTTTTAGTTTGGTTTGTTGCTTTCTTTAGTCCCTCCTCACTTTAATGTGCACTATATACCTGCATTATTTGGGTTTGATTTTTGGGGAGCTGATACACATACAATTATTGTATGTGGTCCCAGCATACAACACCAATAAAAATTCGCCGCATCAGCATTAACCAAAACAAGAAGAGGAAAAAATAGGAGGGAAATAATTCATCCATTATGGCGCCATAAAGCAAATTGAGCGGGATTCTTGTTGGGTGAAATTGTTGGCGCCATACTAAGCATTAATTACAATGTTATTTTTTTTTTCTACAAATTTTACCCATAATATATTAATATTCCTTCAATATTACAGTAAAAAAAAAAAAAAAGGTCGGAGATGATGAACAAACCGCCGGAGAAGATGACAAAATTTACTAACGCCGGCAAATTTTCCGGTTAAGTAACTAAATATTTGAATTTGCGAGCTTGTTCAATCCAAGTTAAAGAAAATTGGTTTTATTTAACAATCCACCATATTCGATTCAGTTTTAATATTTATTTTAATTTTTTTTTCATCCATCATGTTTTTGGGTTTTTCAGATTAGGATCAAAATTCCTGTACATGTCCTCAATTTTGTGAACAAGTACTCGTGTGAATGGGTAGTGGGTTCAAATTTCTCTCTCCTCTCCTTTCTTTGTTTCAAACTTGGGGAATACGTTGAATTCCTTTTTTTTAGAGCTTGTAATTTAGATCTAGATCTTTTTCTTGAAGTACATACTAAGTAGTTTATATGGATTTGGTTTTAATCTTCGATACCTTTTCACCAATTTAATGGTAGTTACGAAGTAGTGATACTAATGGGGATAATTTTACACTAGTGTTGCAAGCTGCTGTGGTAATGGGGTGCGGTGTTGAATTTGGGTGGTGGCCGATTTAAATGACGTATTCGGCAGTGAATAGTGACTACTATGTCACAATAAACCACATGGTATTGGCCATAGGCTAAATTATATACGTAAGGAAGGGATCGAACTTGAAATAATATACAATTATTGTATTTTTATATTCATCATTGTTAACCAAATTTGCAAAATTATTAACGAATATTATGAAATTCGCCTTGTAACATTTTGCAAACTTATTGTATCGACCTTTTGTGATATATTAATAAGAGTAGTTACAAATCAATATTGTTCTGTTACTAGAAAAAATGCAAACATACTAAAATGTCCAAATTGTAGTGTTATTAAGTACATAGTTACCAAATATTGATTTAAAATTAAATTAAAATGTGTTGGATACAAAAGATGAAAAGAACCTGATGTATTATATTAATAAACAAAAGGTGTATTGTAAAAATAAAAGGTGTAATATACATATGACCTTATGATATATAATTAATTTAAACTCTAAAATTCCACTCGCTAATTTGACTAATTATAATCCTACTTGAATTGGCGCAATATAATCTCTATCATGTGTGGATCCCATGTGGTGCTTTAAATTTTTTAGATAATTATAATCCTACGTGGCGCTGCATCATCTCGTGAAGAAACTATCTTTTTTTTTTTTTGAACCGGAAGAAACTATCCTTTATATATTTTAAATAATTCTAATCTTACATGACGCTCTATAATCTCGGGAAAATACTCCCTTTTTATATATCACATCATTCACTACATAATTATTTCGAGTGCAAAAAACTCCCTTGTGTTTAACAATTTTGTATTTTGCGATGTCCTTGATGTATCCAAAGTTTGATAATTTTTTAGTAACAATCACACTTTTTTTTTAGTAATGAGTGGTTAGTAAAAGCAATAAATAAATAACCCCAATTATATCGTTTATTTATTTATAATTATATATAATAACTATATTAATAGCATATAGCTGTGTAAATGTTTTGTTAGAGTCAATATCGATCCCCTTTATATATATAAATGGTTACTAATAAATGTTTATTTATATAAATGGTTACTAATAAATGAACTAAGAAGGAAAACCAAATTGGAAAAGGGACAAATTATTTGATTAAGGGGGGATCTAAGTCATCTAACGGATACAAATATACTAATATAGGCTGCTTTTATACATTGCAAAACAAGTATAAGTGTCAAACTATATTCGAATTACCTTACAAAATAATAACCCCATTTACTTACTTAAAAATAACCTATTCACTGATTAAACAGTGACAAGTGAATCACAAATTGATAAACAACTATTATCAGAGTACAAACGAAATGGATTTTTTATTTTGAGTTAAAACAAGATAATAATGTCACACAATTCGGTATTAAATGGTGTAATTGTTATTATACAATTATTTCAATATTTTGTAAAAAATTATTGATCTAACAATTTCAATGTTTATATTTTTTTTGAAATGGAAAGTTATGTATATTAAAAGTATAATAATTGCGTATTCAAAATAAAATAATATATCAAACAGTTTAACAGTACAATATTTAGGAGTAAGCGATGCCCCAGCTCATCATAAGTTTTCAAGTTTAATCTAAATTGATAATTTTGCTCATGTATGACAACTTTCTTTAAATGATTATTTCGATTGCTAATAACTTATTATTGCTAAGTTATCCATTTTGTTTATAACTAATTTCATGAATCATGATTTCTGTTACTAGAAAATGAATTTATATATTTTAAATTTCACTCTAACATATATACGGTTACTAATTTATGTACTAACTTTATGAACCAAGTTTGGGGGGAATGTAATAATAATAATAATGATAATAATAATAATAATAATAATAATAATAATAATAATAATAATAATAATAATGAGTTTTTAAGAGTGATAAAACAAGAAGAAGAAGAAGAATGATAAAAATAAGGCAAAATTGACCTAAACTATGGTTTGGGTGCACCCAACACCCTGTACTTTGCTTAGTAGTCAAAACACCACAAACTAATGACTTGGGTGCAAAGCGCACCTTTAGTGAGTTTTTGCGGCCACCATTCTTGTCGGAGCCGGTGAATTTTTTCGATTTGCGTGCCGGAAAATGTCCCGTAAAGGTTACGGGGGTCATTTTGATCCTTAAGGGTCCAAATTGAGCTCGAAACAAGCAAAAAAGATAGCGTAAATGACTCAATTCGGCTTAAAAAACAATGACACGCAAATTGAGATATTTTATAACACGCTAATTGACTCCAAT